TTTTTTTTTTTTTTTTTTTTTTTTTTTTTTTTTTTTTTTTTCGTAGCGAAACTTTTGCGTCCCGAAAAAATTTTCGCCGCTCGACGATTTCGACGTCGGTTGCACAACGTCGGTTGAAGCGTTGTTGTTGTTGGAGAAAGAGAGAAAAGAAAAAAGAGACGAGGAGCGAATAAATTGCCGATTGCGCAACCTTTGTCGTTATCGCTGGATTTTACGCGTGAAAATTTATTCACAATGGTGTGCAATTAAACTTAACGATCGAAATTCCTGACCCGAACGAGCCGAAACGTTTCCTTTCGATCTTATTGATCTCGCCACGAATCACTTTTCCATCTTTCGCGTCTATTTCGATCGTAATTCGCCGATCGTAAATCAATCGCCGATCAGATTCGAATTCAATTGAATAAAACTGAAATTCTTTCTTTTTTTTCCAATTAAAAAGTGAGCTATTCTTGTCTATCTGGAATAATATCGAAAGCCGTATGGAGATAGAAATATTGAAAAAAGATTGCGCAATCGCGACAATCGTGCAATCTTTTTCTCTATCGAAAACACGTCGCCGTTATTCTTTTAATAATCGAGTTTTGCGGTCGAAACGGACATCTTTTTTCTCCATCTTCTTCTCCTTTTTTCAACGATTCCAAAGAGAGGCCGCTATTAATTATACCGGATACCATTCTCGAGATAATTGTTTTTTTCTCTCTCTTTTCTACAATTATACATATATGGTTTCGAACGTTTCTTCAAACGAATACGTTATATCACTCGTTCTCCCCCCTCCTTTTCCTTTATTTCAAGTCGCGAGTCCGTTTAACACGAATAATAATTACATGAATAATAATTTCCAATTCTAACCTATATCGTCTCGCGTCGAGTTATGCGACCGATTGTGTTTCATTGACACCGCCCACGTGCCCAACTCGTTCACGGAAAGCAGCTTTCACCTTATTTGTTCCAAGAAAAAAACACTTAAATAACAGTAATAACAATAATAATAATAATAATAACAATAACAATAACAAACACCGAGTCGATAATCGAGTTAACTAATTTTCAAATTTTAAATCTTCCACGATCTCTCCCTTATCGACGTAACTTCGAGTCATTCGATCGAAATGTATATATATATATATATATATATATATTTCGATTCAGATCCAGAGTTGGTAAACGAAGTTGGAAAGTAGGAAAGCACGCGGTAAAGTTTACTCGCGACGACGGGTACGATCTCGCGGAGGTTTGGAGCGAAGCCAAAACACCACCGTGTGTTCCTCTCTACGTCCGCTGGACCAGTTTTCTTTATCCGGCTTTTGCACCGCGAACAGATTTCGAAACGACCGGTTCTCCTTCCACGAAAACGAAACGCCCGTTTTCGGCGGCGGCGGCGGCAGCGGCGACGACGAAAATAAAGCGGCACCCGCGATATCCTTGCAAACTTTACGATCCTGTAACGGACGCACGCACACGCGCACGCGCACATACTGTCCGCCATTTTCGATGAAGGTACATAACATGGATTGGGCAGAGGGCCTCGAAGCGAAGCGTCTTCCTCGCGTTCTCGTCACACGTGGCGAATTAGGAGGAAAGAAAGAGAAGTAATTTTTACATCAGCTTGCGAAACTCGTCGCGAATTATCGTTTCGCAACGATAATCAACGTAAGTAATGTTGTTAAGATAAGAAAAGTAGCTCGCAATCGTTAATTAATTTCCCGAATCAAATATTTATTGTTGTTACTATTATTATGTTACGAAATAGGATCAGGTGGAAAATAAAGGATCGTTTACAACGGAAGGAAAAAAAAAACGAAGAAAAGAAGCTGAAAAGGTCGTTACAGTTTAGTGTATCTCTAATACAAGTGTCATCTCTTATGTTCGCATAACCTATTATTTACATAATCGTGGATAAAATAAACATCGATTCTTTTTTCTTCTTTTTTTTCCGCGTGCATTTACTGCACGTGCGAGATAAATTATCGCGCGTTTTCGTGATTCGATATTCCGTTTCTTAATCACAATTTTGTGGAAAAGTTTCTTTCAAGAAACTAAAGAAAACTATTTAGAAGCTTGTTTCGATTTGATTAGAAGAACGGAAGAAACGAAGGGGGCTCCTCAACGACTGTGTTGAGATCCGTATTCTGGATTCTTCCTAACACGTGTGCGCGACAACAATGCCCGCCACTTTCCGGTTCAACCTCTACGCGGATCTGTTACGTGATTCCCGCAACGCGTCGACCGGCTCGTTTCCTCGAATCGGAAAGTTCCGCTGTTCCGTGAAATTTTTAATCGAGAAATTGTTGGACGGGATGTCGAATTAAATTTCATCTCTCTTCTTCTTTTATCCCTGATCGTTTCGAGGAGATTCTCGAAGGTGGATGGATAAATTGTGGGCAAAATAAAACAATTACATCTCTCTGTTGAAAACCGTTAAATTCGTTGCGAAATAGCACAGGAGTTACGTAAGCAAAACCGGTGAATCTGCTTTTTACCAAGTGGAGAGAAAAGTGGGGGAAGATAGACTCGATATTTTGCAAGAGTTTTGTTTGAAGAAGGATGAAATTTTGATTTGGGATTCAAAAACATTATTGAGATTCTATTATGTACATTTATATATTGACACACGTATATTCGTAAGATTTCTTTTAAGCGTTCATTAATTCTAAAATAAACACAAAATAAAAAAACTCTGAATTAAAGTTTACTTATTAAATTATAAAGTAATTTATAAGTTCATGTGAACGGAGACAACGATACGCCTTGCTTCTCTCTTCCAACATAAATTTCAATCGTTTGCAACTTGGCAATCTTTACATTCGTTTCGAAATCTCAAATCTCTTCAAAATCAACTTTGGAAAAATTTTGGAAATTTTATGAAACTCGTATGAGAATCGAAAAGAAATTTTGAGAATTTTCAGAAAAGAAATATGACATTCGATCGATCCAATAACGATTTGATTCGGGATTATCGATAATAATATAGGTCGTTGAACCTGGAACCACGTCACGCCTCTGAAAGCCCGTTAGATATCTGGATGGTTGGCGAGAGAGACAGGCAGGAGC